CCAAGTGAAATAGATAAATATATTAGGATTCCTCAAATTAAGTTTTAGATCCCTATAAAACTATATAAGTATCATTCTTTATTAAGATCCGTAAGAACTAATATCTATACTTGAGATTTTCTTTTCTCAGCACCATTCCCGGTAATCACTAGATGGCTGCTGTGCCGCATCAACTGATAATCATCTCGGCTTGCTGGAGCCACTTTCCCGAAACTACATTCCATGAAGACCCACCTACATCTAAGGAACAATTGCAGAACTGCACTAGACCCACCCTTAATGCAACCCTGAATAGAATCTATGTTCCCTATTGTTAAAACTTTATGAGCTGAAAATTGAAACATGTAGCCCCTCTCCCGTTTACTTGCATGCATCACATTTTCAATAAAAATGCACGATGATTCCTAGCAGTGGTCACTCTTCAGAGAGCGATCTCTGAGGGGTGTCCAACTCAGGACATGCATGAAAAGGCACCGAGACCTTTGTCTTCTCTTCACCTGCACCACTTCTGATGAGTCAACCCACCCCCACCGAGGCTGGACCCCAGCACACACCCTCTTGAGAGTGCTTGTTCCCTCTTTCTCTGGCCTCTGTCTCTCTCTGGCCAGTGCATGTGCCCTCTGGCAAATTTTTTCAAAAGAAAGAAAGATGTGACATAGCAATCCATCTAGAGAACTACATGCAAAGGGTAAGGTGAGGATAAGAAAGTAGATAGACAGCCAGGGTTCAAGTAATAGTGCTTTGTGCAATAAAGCAAAGTTTAGCTTTATCTTGAAATCTCCATGGAACTGAGTTTAAGCAGAGAAGTAACATATCCAGATAGACATTTTAGAAAAATCACTAAATCCAAAGGAAGGATTCATGAGAAACATAGAGAGGAAACAGACAATAATACAGGTAAGAAGTGATAAGATGGTGAACTTAAAGACACTGGGAAAGAAGGAAAACAAATATATTTAAGAGGCATCAAGAAATAGAAAGTGTAAAAGAGTTCCCCTTTCACCACACCCCCACCAACACTTATTCACGATTGCTAAGACATGGAACCAACCCAAATGCCCACATATGGATGAATGGATTGAAAAACTGGCACATATATTCTATGGGATACTATTCAACCATAAAAACCAACAGAACAATGGCTTTTGACAGAAAGTAGAAGAATATAGAAGATTTACTGCTGAGTGAAGCAAGCCAGGCTATGAAGGAGAGACATTGTATGTCCCCACTTAATATATACTGAGTGTCTGCACTCTGCAACCAAAACTGACTGATTAAAAGATATACAAACACAAGAGATGGGTGTGAATGCCAGATGTAGTGTGTGTGGAGTGGGGCTTAGGGAAGGTCATTTGGAGGAGGGATACGGAGGCAGAGCATTGATGGGATGGGGAGGTTTGGTGCTATTTGTTTTGATCAACTGAACTGGGGAGAAATGTCCACATATTGAAATGTTCACTTTGTAAGCTAAACAATGTGATTGAATGTATATAAAAAATAAATAATAAATAAATAAAAAGAAATAGAAAGTGTGAGAT